CTATCCCCACTTCCTGAATACGGCTGCCAGACTCATTCACCTTACCAACCACTCCGTTTCCGCTACCCCCCCCTCTGCCAATCCCTCCACTGGCTTCAGATCAAATCCAAAATCCTAACACTGACGTACAAAGCTGTCCACCATACTGCCCCAAATTACATCACCGACTTAATATCCAAGTACCACCCAACACGCACTCCGCTCCTCACAAGACCTCCTTCTCTCTAGCTCTCTGGTCTCCTCCTCCCATGCCCGCCTCCAGGATTTCTCCAGGGTGTCACCCATCCTCTGGAACTCCCTGCCCCAACCCATCAGACGATCACCTACTCTCCTCTCCTTTAGATGCACCCTGAAAATCCACCTCTTCAGGGAAGCCTACCCCACCCCCTGCTAATTTCAGACCTCCTCCACTCTTCCTACCACTCCATCCCCCACAGCTATCTCCTCCTGTACCACTATCCCCTCCCTCCTAGATTGTAAGCTCGAAAGAGCAGGGCCCTCGAACCCCTCGTGTATCGCATTGTATTGTTACTGTGCTGTCGCATGTTCTGTCCCCCTTCGTAATGTACAGCGCTGAGTGAACTGTTGGCGCTTTATAAATACTGTATAATAATAATATTATTATATGTACTTGATTCAATTGATTTATACCTTTATGCATAGTTTATTTAGTTTAGCACTTGTTTGCTTTGGCTATAGGGTGAGCATATTGAGCATATTGAGGTATTATCATTTATTACACTTTCAACGGTGAAAGTAAGACTTATATGCTTTCAGAGGATAGGTTTATATTTTTATTTGAGATACCGTCTTAAATCAGAAAATACAATTTGCGCCATTATAAATAAAATACAATTTGTACCATTATAAATAAAATACAATGTATTCCATAACAAATAAAATACAATTTATTGCAGTTTTGGACCAGTATCAGTCCTTTCCCTGGCCAGTTTGAACAGGTTACTTGTGGAAATCTGGCCTTTTTGACAATGCGCTTTAAAGTTTACTGTGGTTCAAAGTATACCTCTATTTAAAGCGGTTGTAAAGGCTCAAGGTTTTTTACCTTCATGCATTCTATACATGAAGGTATAAATCATTTTTTATGCAGTAGCCCCCCCATAATTACCTGAGCCCCATCGCGATCCAGCAATGTGCCTCGGCTCTCCAGGGACTCTCCCTCCTATTTGACTCCCACTACTGTCATTCACAGCCAGAAAGCCAATGAGGAAAGAGGGGCGAGGCTGAGATGCGACTCTGTGTGTGAATGCACATGCAGAGCAATGGCTCAAGAGCGAGCTTGCTTGGATGCCCCATAGCATGCTGTTTGCTTTGGGGGCACTTGGCAGGAAGGAGGGGTTTGGAGTGCCAGTGGGGGACTCGAGAAGAGGAGGATCAAGAGGAGGATCAGGGCTGCTTTGTGGAAAACCACTGCACAGTGCAGGTAAATATGGCATGTTTATTTTTTTTTTAACTTCCCTGGCGGTATTCAAAAGTGTAGCTCGGGGTTAACTTTCAGTACCAAAAGCGGTAACCCCGAGCTACACTCGGGATTACCCTGCAGCATTGCTCAGGGATTCCCTCTTGTACTTACCTTGTCCTTCGCTCCCGCGATGTCCCCCCTGCAGCATCCCCGGCCATCTCCTCCAGCCGATGCCGGCATCCATCTTCCGTTGACATTCACTAAAATCTCATAGTATAACATTACTATATCAAAGCATTTCACATACATTTTGTCCCTAGTGCTTTGTCCTGTACCCTGCCTGCATTTTTACTGTTCTTTCTGCCTGGAAACTGAGAAAAGTCCATGGCGTCCAAAAAGCGTCCCATTGGGTTAAAATCGATTTTAGACCAGCTAGAGAACAGCGATAGTAAATTAGAACCACTTGCAGAATTGAGTGATAATGATTAGTGGGGAAATTCATCATCAGACACTGAAAACAATTTTGCGACTTTGCTCAGTGATGTGCGAACTTGGCGCTCTATTTCAAATTTCAGTGTTTTTGTTTGATTAAATTATTGAATTAAATGTATTATTATTATATTATTATTTTTTATGATTATTTATATATTATAATTTATGATTTCGTGTTTCAAATTTTATCATACCCGAGATGTTTACTAGACTCTTGTTCGGACAGATTTCAGTGAGTTATTCCTAAGAATTACAGGCCTACAATAAAAAAAACAACATATTTCCATGTAAAAAAATGTACTGCTTTGAGCACAGACCGCTAAGGAGGTTAATTGCCTTTGATATCACTTTAACATTTTACTAAGCACACCAGCACACAAACACATTCTCAAATGTATTGTAACACAAAAACAGTGAAAATGCAAGTATTCTACCATGAATATTCATAAATTAGCTCCTTTTATAAGTTACATTTAATCTCTCCACCTCTGTCTTGTATTTATTGCTGTCATACTCCTCCTAGGCAGATTCACCCTATTTATGTTGATGACAATTGTCTCCAGGAATAAAAGTATTGGGAAGTCAAAAATTATATGGTTGTCACCAGAACAGGTGAGGGAAAATCTTTCAATGTAGACACTTGTTCCAATGACAACTAATGACAACTATCTAGGAGAAGATTCACTTACACTTTGGAGATATTAATACTCAATTCCTGTTTTGTTTTTGATGCAGGAAGTGAGATGAAATTTCCACAACAGGACACAAAATTGAGTTCTAACTATTCTCTTCTCTATCAAATAATTAAAAAAAAGTTTTGGCAAAAGATATGCTTTAAAAGAAATTCATTAGGCTTTTCTTTTCTTGTAAACTGTAAAAATGTTACTGTGTCAAGCCCAAAACTTTTTTTTCTAGTTTTGGACACAAAGTAAAACCTCAGTCGGGGCAGAAGCTAATAGATATTTAATTTGCGCGTTTCATTAAAGTACAAAAAATGTGTAAAAAACCTTGTACTGTGCTTGGAGTGTATTTATTGTAATTGCACCCCAAACACGGCAAGCAGAAAACATGTGAAGCTTGAAGCTCAAAAAAGTACATGAGCTACTTTGCTGCATTTGTTATGCATAGAGCAGCCCATTGAAATGAAGCTTTAGTAAACCAAGACAACAGTTTTTACTAAAGGTAACTTCAGATGATGTGTTTTTCATCATGTATAGAGTTTGAGTTGCCTAAATTCATGATAGGATAATCTAAAGGTAGTTGCTTTAATGATTCTACCACCTTGACATTTGTCCCAAAATACAAAATAGTTCTATGGCATTGTGGCAGGCTACGTATAGCGGTAGCACATCCTGATCACATAAGAGCTATAGAAAGTACCAACTGATAAGTACTTTTTAGGTGCCCAAGGACTACACACTTGTTATTAAAATTGAATACAAAATACAATTTATTAACAACATCTGAAAAGTTTTACATCATCTTTAAAAAAATCAATTTCTGGGTAATGCAAATCTCTCCTATTCAGTAGATCCCTAGGCATACACTTTTATAACATATATCTAAGTTTTAAAACATATGATCTCATAAGGCAACAGATTGCCCACAAACTTTATGTTGTTAAAATTGTCATAGGGATCCTGTTTCCACCATGCGTTTCACAGGATATGACTCACTTCTTCAGGAGAGGGGTGAATTACAAATATGTAGATGTACAGAAAATAATCATAAATGTGCTGTAGTACATAGTATTTTATCATCTTAGATTCACAGATTACAACATTTGAGAAGAGCTTGAATTGCCTAAGCATATGACAGGCAAATTTAAAATTAGCTGCCCTCATTTTTGTTTTCCCTAGATGTGAGTTACCAAGAATACATTGACACTTTGTACTTGTTTTTATTAAAGTAAAGGCAATACTTTTTTTTTATTATAAATCTTTTGTTGCTGTCTGATCCCCTGTTAGAGAGACTTACCCCCTCTATATGTCCTGATTACTGTTATCATCAGCAGTGAATGTGAAAGAAAATCACAAATTTTGGGTTGTCACAAGAACAGGAATAGAAGCGAAATCTTACAACGGGACAGTAGTTCTGGTGCAAGCAGAGATGCCCTTACTTTGGAGGGATTTCCACTCACTTCCTGTTTTTGCAATGGGACAGGACGTGAAGGGAAATCTTCCCAATGGGACACAGATGGAAAAAAAGAGTTTATAATCATATCTTACTCCATTAAAAATGGGAAAAAAAAAGTTTTGTCCATAGTTCTACTTTAATTAACAAGAAACAAACTCTTACATATGTTTAAACGTGATTGATAGCAGTTCTAGAAAAGGTAATTGGCATTTTAGGTACATAATAGAGAACAATCATATGCAATGAATTATAAATCTTATCATCTGCTGAGTGACTGAGGATGATGTATACCTTATGTAATAAGCAGACAAAGTCACTCCAGCTGTCTACTGCAGAGCTTAACTTTTCCAACAGGAAGGCACATTTATATGAAAATATGAGCGAACGCTTCAGTTCTTTCAGCCGTGTTAATGTTACAGTATTTTCTCCTTTCTCCTGAATACTATCACATCACATTTAGCAGTTGGAAGGTTACTGCTAAAGATATGCTTTGGTTTTGCTTCAGATACTTCAGGCAACATTTTTCTGCTCGGAAGATGACAATATTTCCCTGTTAACATTGCAGAAATATTGTAATCTAATTGCACAAAGAAGCATACCTGCAATCTCCTGTCTAGTTTGACCTAAAACCCTTTGATTGATATTCCTATTTCCAGTACATTTAGAAAAAGCATGTTCTGTGCATTATAGTGTAATGAAGTCACACAACGCGGCTGCCCATTTTCACAGATAGTTTCAAGAAATGTTTTGCTTCGGTAGAAAAGGTTTGATTAAAAATATGACAGCTTCTTAATTGACCTTAATAGAACTGTAGTACTCTTGTAACATTTTCAATCTGTCATGGTAATAAAGATCATTTTCGGATTTGCTTGACATTTTTCGTGGCTGCAGATATAACTTCAAATAGCATCTTGCGCAAAACTAATGAGGATATTTCTGTGTTCACCCGCAGTTAGTTACAGCTCTCATTTGGAGGCATTTCTGTCGTGTAGTACAAGTGACAATAACACAGTGATTCTGGCCTGGAGAGAGAAAGGCAAAACCCATCTGAGGACAACATCACTGAATATTACAAAAGGAATTAATGGCTTTGACTATGATTCCGGATTAAATATAATTGGTATGTATCAGGGCAGTGAAAGTCTTGCTGTGGCTGAGGTTACTTGTCTATGTCAGATAATAGTGCACAATGTGTCTCTCTTATTTTTTTCGTTTTTACTAAAGAGCTAGCATTGCCTGACACTTGTATGATTTAAAATTGGACAGTTAAAGAGAACCAAAGAAGCTACTGCAGATATAGCTTGTCTGCCTCTTTCTGCCTCATGCACATTATTATTGTCCAATGATGCAACCCATCATAGTGATAGACCAATAATCAGCAAGCTATAGCAATATCAGCTAACACTACCTGTAAGCACTATAGCTTCAGCCATATTTGAAGGCTTTTTTGAAGCTACTGCGGATATGTGCTGGCACCTCTGGGTAACCACACTTTATTCCTGCGGTCATTTTTTTCTTTCCTAGAGACAAAGGTGTAACGGAACCGAACCCAGACTGCACTTGGGTGATTCCGCTTCCCTGTCCTAACACAGATCCATTGACACCACCGCTGGCCATAGAAGACGAGACACACCAGACTTGTATGAAAGACAGGAAATAGACTGCTTTACTTTAACATAGATACAAGATATATACACAGGGCGGGGAAATACACACCCAGACAGGAAACACATCAGCAGGCCGTCCCATCAGGGGGAAGGGCTGCCGGAAACATTACATCCCATAATAGTTTGCTTCCAAACAAGGCACACAATAGAACAATGGGATGCACCACCTAGCAATGAACAATGACCAACCCCCACACCAATACACACACATTACGTCCCATAATAGTTTGCTAGAACAATGGGATGCAGCCGCATGGCAGTGAACAATGAACAACCCCCACACCAATATTAGAACATTTCACCCCTAACAGGCACAGGGTGACTTACACATAATGGGAATATGGGGAGCTGAGACAGGGGTCCCCCACCCCCAAAAAGTCACTCCCGTCACATATCTCCCCTTTCGGCAGGAGGAGACTAACGCAGGAGTAAATCCCAGACGGATGGACTCCGAAGTTAGTCTTTACTTCCAGTCCCCAAATGCCAGCACCCACACAGTACCCCAAACAAATTGTCCCACACAAACAAATTGTCCCACACAAAGCATTACTCACCCAGCCAACCTCTGCCTCTCTCGTAGAATATACCCACCACTGGGAGAAATACGGACTGGTCCTTCTCCTGAAGTTCTCTCAGCCGCTGGAGAGATGACAGGGTGGCTGGGCTGACTCCATCATGCTGTGGGGGATCTGGGCCAACTGCCCAGCATCCCTGAGGTATCCAGGTGGGGACTGTAGTCTCATCCACTTTGACTTGTTGGACATCCCCCAGTGTTTGCAAAGTAAGGCTGACATCTTCTTGTCCCAATGCCAGACCCTTTTCTGGGGTTGTGTCAGTGGAGACCGAAGTCCCATCCACGGACATCAGCTCAAGCTGCTGTTGTGAGGTGCTGATTGCATCCTCTTCCTGTAGCTCCTGCGGTGCTGATTGTTGTGGGCAGAGGTCAACAACACCATGCCCTGATGCAAGCTCTTCTAGAGGCTTGCCGGCTGGTTCCTCCTCAGCAGAAAAGTCAATCAAATCTCCAGTCTCTGGAACTGGTGTCTGGGGATAGGGGTTCACCATTTCCTGTCCGTGGAACTCAGAAGATGTTACCAGTACTGGGAAGAGTTCACTAATGTTTGGCCCTGTTGCCAGCCACTTCACTAGCAGGTCTTCTGCTGGAGGCTTACCAGGGTATTTTTTTTTTCCTCAGCAGAGAAGTCTATCAAATCCCCAGTCTCTGTAATTTCCACTGCCAATTCTTGGGCATGCTGCCGAACATTTTTTTAGCAGTTGCTTGTATGCCCTTTCCAGATGTAGTTCTTTCTTCAGCAGGTATTCCAGATCTGGTTCAAGCTCTGAGACCCCTGTGAGACCAAACATAGCCTCTCTCTGCCTTCTCACAACTCCCCCAGGGTAGGTTCTCCTTCATCGCCAAACACAAAATGATCTGTAAGGCTCTCCCACAGCAATCCAGGGCCACGAAAGTCATATCCCTCAGGAGATAAGCATTCTGTTGTCACCCTTAAATATTCCTGCTCTACGTACCATTTCACCCCTAACAGGCACAGGGAGCCCAATATCTGGTTGTCCAGCTCTATCTCCTGCTGGACCCCCAGCATGTCCATACTCAGTCACCCATTGCTCCTGGAGTCGCTCTCGCAGGAACGGCATCCATAACTTCGATGGTCCCTGACTCGTTCCCCTGGGGTTGGATAGCACTTGCCCTTGTCCATACAAGCAACCTGGAGGGCTCCTCTCCAAAGGACCTCCCCAAATCCGCTGCCTGAGCTCCAGGTACTGATCCGTAGACACAGTCCTGGGGCATGTTGCAAGATGACGGTCTGCAGCAGCCCTGGGAACTCTGATGCCAGGTCCATATCTCCACTGGAGTGACTGATGTCTCCTTTCCTGATTGTTGAATCCCGATGGTGGTTTGGACGTGTTCACAGCTTGGAAGCACAATCCCACCACTTGCCACCAATGTAACGGAACCGATTGCACCAGACTGCACTTGGGTATTTCTGTTAGCCTCCCGCTTCCCTGTCCGAACACAGATCCACGGACACCACCGCTGGCCATACAAGACGAGACACACCAGACTTGTATGAAAGACAGGAAATAGACTGCTTTATTTTAACATAGATACAAGATATATACACAGGGCGGGAAAATACACACCCAGACAGGAAACACATCAGCAGGCCGTCCCATCAGGGGGAAGGGCTGCCGGAAACATTACATCCCTTAATAGTTTGCTCCCAAGCAAGGCACCCAATAGAACAATGGGATGCACCACTTGGCAGTGAACAATGACCAACCCCCACACCAAGACACAAACATTACATCCCATAATAGTTTGCTAGAACAATGGGATGCAGCCGCATGGCAGTGAACAATGAACAACCCCCACACCAGTATTAGAACATTTCACCCTGTACCCCTAACAGGCTCAGGATGACTTACACATAATGGAAACATGGGGAGCTGAGACAGGGGTCCCCCCACCCCCAAAAGTCACTCCTGGCACAAAAGGGGTTTAGTATATAAATAGAGACTGTTCACTTTGCAAAGTAAATTTCTCTAAGCATAGTACCTTATGTGCTAGCAAAAGGAAGGTTAAAAGCCTTTATCAAATCAACACCTAGGTCTCTTCAAAGAAAACCTGCCTATACCCTTGTACTCCCTAGAGGTTAATAAAGACCTCCGGAGGTCAGGTGGGCTGAAATTTCACCTTAGGATTTAGTTTTGACTTATAGTGGTAGTGTGAAGAGATAGGCAACAATCACTTTGAGACAGTTTAACAGTCATACAATAGGGTCTTTAAGTCAGATCAGCAATTCTGTATTCTTTGGACCACGGGCTGTAAGCAGTTTTAGTACTCAATGGATTAGTCATCAGACTTCCTGCCTTGCCCCTAACTTCTCTGGACACTCTCTAGTAGATGAAGGTTCACACTTTGTGCACCAATCTAGGTCATCACCTTCCTGTTCCACTTTTCATGAATATACCCTCCCGCAGGACAGCAGGAAGCCTCAGACCCTAGACTTGGGCTTCTTCGTAACTCAATGCAAGTGTACAATCCAAACGCACATGTTCCTGTGTTAAAAATGGCTGTGTGTATAAGTGGGTACTGCAGCAACCGTCGGCTGGAACTGAACAAAATCAGCAAAGGAGAATGTCACCATCACACAGAGGATCACCAATATAGGTCCAAAAGTTTTAATGAACGATCACATAGTTAGAGCAAAGCAATATTTCAGAGTCTCACAGGACCCCTTCATCGGTCACATGCCTGATGAAGGGGTCCTGCGAGACTCTGAAGCGTTGCTTTGCTCTAACTATGTGATCGTTCATTAAAATGTTTGGACCCATATTGGTGATCTTCGGTGTGCTGGCGACATTCTCCCTTCCCCTTCCCCCTCTATGTAACTCAACTCACACTCCCCAGGCAGTAGACCTGGGAGGACAAGAACCTCAGCAGCAACCCCATTTCACTAGACAGAGCCTGGGATGCAAGATCTTCCAGAGGATTCCCTTGAATATTTATATAGTCCTCCAGTATGCACAATACACCTCATATCAGCAATAAACCTCCTAATGGTTGTCCAGGGAGATATAAATATTAATAAATAAATTATTGCAGACTTGCACAATATTGCCAGCGGCACACCCCAGCAGCAGGCAGAAGCAAACAAACTAGAGCTTGAAGAGAACCTGAACAAAGCTGAACTATCATTTCAGCTCAGGCTGACACAACCCCTGTTAGGGCCGAGTGTCTACATAGGTTTCTGGCTTCACTGCTTTTTAAGCTACTAACATGGAACAAGTATGGAAAACTCCTCTGTGGCCGCATGCCTGTTGTGGATCAGTGCCTCATTGAAGACAATAAGGAACCAGTCAGTTGCATTAACAAAAGACAGCCACTGTATTTCTCTCATGACAGGTTTCTATTAAGGAGAATTCCACTAGTATATAAATTGGCTAAATAACATAACCACAATACCATTAAAAATGTCCTCCATTCTGAAGGTGATTCATAATGTATTTATTCACATGGAGAAATTTCAATTATTGGGCTTATATGTGACCATTCCTCTAGCAGGTCTGATCAAACACAAACATGGTTGGTTGAGCTACTAGATTTAAATATTTGACAGAGAATGCCACATTTTGAAACAGAACCTGAATGAACTTGTATTTGCCTATGAAGGGAAATCAAAGATTCACTTTAATGCCATCCGTAAAGCTGCATATACAGTACTTACCTTCCTCTAACCTTCTCATCAATGGGGACAAAGACTTTTATCCCTGAGTATGCTCTGAGCCACAAGTTGGAGCTTACACTATGAGGAGGACTCTCTTCCCTTCCCTATGTGATGGCACCAAGCACCTAAGCAGCTAATCACCAATAACCAGTGCTGTCATGTGAAAAAAAGGGGGCAAGTCCTGTGCCCCCCATTTCCTTGCTCCTGACTGATGAACAGAGCATTAGGGTGGTGCAGGTAAGACTATTATCTGCTCCTGGTAGGGGTTACCTTTTAAGTGATCTTGGTGCTTTACTTGGCATGCACTCTCAGTGAAGCTGAAGAGTTTCAAAGTCATTTCCTAAGGACTAGCATACAGCCCAGGAGTTAGAGACTGAATCTTTTGCTATAAGGCAGATTGCATGTAGGGAAAATTCTGAATCTTTTAAAATGGCGTCACCTTACATCCTTTTTTTTTGGTGCCACCACCAGGATTCCTTCCTCTTCACAAAAAATACTCTGGGCAGAGTTTAATAAGAACTGTCTTCTACAATAACTTAATGAAATTTGTTAGAACAAATTACATGAGCTATGACACAGTTCTCAGATTGTTGTCATAGCAACAACATCTTATTTCTAACACATCATATACTTTCTACCCCAGGCAACATTGTGATGTGCCTTTAGCTTAAATGTAACTATTGTGATTAGCATGTACAAGGTGTGCTTGACATTTCTATTCAGCTATATACACACATTACACTTTAAGGTATGATAATAAAGGGGGAAGTCAGATACACAACAGAGAGCTGGAAATATATACTGATATAGCTCACAGTTTCCTGTAATTACATTTATGATCTGTGATGTAATAAAATTCATGATTTTTTTTATTTTAAAATTAGACTTAAATTGATGAACAGCTTAATGAAAGGTAAAAGTAATGCAGAAAAAAGACCAAATAGTGCATTGAATTTGCCCCTTTTCTTTCTAGTTATACTGTATACATATATATTTTACCTTTTTGTCTGAGTATATATCTATGTTTGTCCCAAGCATGTTTAAATGTTTAAATCTACTTACTCTTGACATACTCTAACTCTGCTGGAAGTCTATTCTAATCATCAACTACGCTTTTGGTAAAATAATGCTTTCTAGGATTAGCTTTGAACTTTCCTCTTGCTAGTTTGAAGCCATGTCCGTGTGTTCTGGACCGTGGCTTCATATTGAAAATACTGCTCTTCTGAATTTTATTCACCCCCTTGATGTATTTAAAGCTTTCAATCATGTGTTCACTTTCCCTTCTTGCCTCCAGACTGTATATGTTAAATTCCTGATGTCTTTCTTGAAGCAGTAAGGTGGCTCTGCTGCCGCTAATTGCTTCCACAGCCCCCTGTTCTGGTGCCCCCCACCATGGGCGTGCTCCCGCCATGTAACCGGGCTCTACCTGACCATCTTTGGGCCCGGGGGGAGCCATGGCGTATGCCGGCAGGTGGAGGGTCTGCTCCCCTCCCCTTCTTCACATAACCTGGAAGATGACGTCCATGACATCAGCTCGGGTCACGGCTGTCACTTTCTCAGCTAGAATAGACAGGGAAAGATGTATTGCAATGTGGTTTGCATTGCAATACATCTAGTGGATCACAGAGGAGACATGCAGGGTCTATTAGATACTGCGTGTCTCAATAAAGAGAACCTGTCACCAACAAATCATCACATAGGTGACTTTGTTTTCCCTATGTGATGGAAAAAATAAGTTAAGTAATAAAAACATTTTTTTATGTAAAAAAATAAAGTTACACCCTAGCACAAAACATCCCACCCCCCAAAAAAAACTGAGGCCCCCCCAGCTCCACATATATACACATACGAATGTAAACGCACACGTTGGGCACCTATGCGTGAAAACGTTGATTGTGATACACATGTTGCATATCGCCGTGCATGCCAGAGTGAGAGCAATAATTCTAGCACCAGACCTTTTCTATGGCACTAAACTATGACCTATAGGGTCATTTTGAAGCGTTGTCTATAGAAAATATAGGGTACTAAAGTTTGTCGCCATTTCATAGGTACACACAAATTTAAGGTTTGGCATGTTGGGTATCTATTTACCCAACACAACCGCACAACCTCTTCTTTTATATTTTACCAAACTTGGGTAATTTATTACGTTTGGTTGCCCTAAAATTGCATTTAGTGTGATTTTTACAGAAATTTTACGTTTCCTAGACCTTTGCAATAATATTTTGTGACATAAAAAATTGGAACTACCACTTTTTTATTCTCTAGGGTCTCTGCTTTCAGAAAATATATAATGTTTGGGGGTTTTATGTAATCTTCAGGCCTAAAATTATTTTTTAAATGTGTGGAAAAAGTGCAAAAACGACTCTGGCAGGAAAGGGTTAATACCCCTTCTTTTCAGGAGTGATTCCATTACTTGACTATATCCAGTGTTAAACTCACTGGCCTGTAATTGCCAGATTCTACCTTGTTACCCTTCTTGTGGATAAGTACAATATTAGCTGTCCGCCAGTCATGGGGAACCTGTTAGAAGAGATTGATTAAAAAGATAAGTTAATGGTCCAACGACTATACCTCGAAGTTCTCTTAGAACTCTGGGATGAATACCATTGCTTTATTAAGCTTTAACCCTTTCACTGCCAGGTCTGTATGTCGAAATGGACCTGACAGCAAGGGGGGGGGGGGGTTTACCCACAATCTAGTGGCTGCACCCACCGAGATTGTGTCTAAAACTGCCTGTCAAGTGAAAGCAGTCGTGTGGCTGCACTGCCGCCTGACTGCTTCTACACACCCCCAGTACTTGCAACTCCCCCCCGCTTCCCCCCCCCCCCACCCGCTATGTATTCCAGGCTCCATTTGCCTATCTGTGGTTCTGGGGCTGACTTGGCAGTTACCACCCGGTAGGGAAGAGGGAGGAGAACAGACAGACTTTTGCTCTCTTCCCCTTCTTCCTGTAACTCGGAAAGTGGTGTGTATGACGTGACTTCCCGGTCACCCCTGTAACTTTCATAGCTAGCACAGCTGAGAAGCAATGTATTGTAATGCAATCTGCATTGCAATACATTGAATGGAGCCCAGAGGAGACATGCAGGGTCTTTCAGTTACAAGGGTAAAACTGTAGAACAGTCAAGCATCTTTCACCAAATTGTAGTGTTTTCCTTATTTTGAAGTGTCCAGGAAAGCATAGTCAGTTTTAGACAACAGAAGCATGAGTGAGGGGATAATACATCAGGAAGACAGGGAAGGGATCAATGCTCCTCATCCCACTGGTGTGATTTAGCATCATGAATAAGGGAGTGGGGGGCTCTGGTTCCAGTGTCTGCTATGTGTTTTTCCTCCAGAAAGCACTGAATTGGGCTTCTTCCAGTACTGATCACATGTCAAAAATGCCTATGCACTTAATCATGTAATCACTGATAAAGAGAACAATAAGAGATCACACTCAGTGGTCCTTCCCTACAGATCAGATATCAACTTACATTGGATTTCACTCATGCAGCCAGAGCAGTAGTTCTGTTACTCTTTATTTATGGATTTCGACAAGACTGTTAAACGTTTAGTTTTATTTCACATTAGATTATAGGTTTACTTTAAGTACCACAGCTTGACAAATCATTCTGTGGATGAGGCCGAGACTGGCACATATTAACTCTCCTATATCTGTGTTGAGTTTCTAAGTTAAATTGGCTGTGAACTGCTACTACTAAACAAATAATTTGTTGAACAGTGTGTGGTCACTCGCTCCAATACCTGACTGTATTATATAGCAATGTTGTTTTCTTTCTATGAGTAGTAAAGGTCCTTTATTTTACCTTAGAGACATGAGCATACTATACAGTACATTACAAAGAGCTGTGTTCACATAATATTGTAGTCCCAGAGACTATTTCCAGAGAAACAGTTCGGCCACATTTTATTTTCTATTAAAATTCATGGGAATGTTATCGTCCAGTTACAGTACTTTGTGCCAAGTTCATGGTTATAGTAAGACAAATGCCGTGAAAAATGCCTGCAGCGTCTGTGTTGTACCTTAAAGGAGAAATATGGCTTATAACATGTTGTTTTCAAATAAAACAAAAATGTCTGGCACCACTTTTTTATTTACACATTAATGTCTTCCTGTCCACAGTCTATTTATTAAAGATCCCCAGAATGATGACTCATGTTGGGGGAAAATTAATAAATGTGCCCCCAAGCTCAGCTGCCATGGGCAACTGGGGTCTCCACTGATAAACCAATCAGACTGGTTTCTGATCATCTGATAATCAATCAACCATGAGGCTCACAAGTGACTGCCCCTACTAGACACAATGCAGCCAATTACATAACCAGTATGTCTTTGGATTCTGGGAGTAAAGCAGAGGAAATTCAAACATTGAAGACAGCATGCAAACACATGCCATCTCCCAGTAACCAGGCAAGGCATACATAAAATACAGAGAACATTTGATGTGTTTTGATGGTGCTTTTTCTTTACTCTTCTGTCCTGGTAAACAAGACTATGAGCTGGCATAATACCATGAATAGTACCATAGTTATCAGTGACATTATAATCACTAAACCATTTCTTAATATAGAAGAATACATAAACAGTCACAGATATGTACACAAACCAAAATGACTAAATATACATACAGTATTATTGTTTTCAATAAATATTAACAATTTTTTATTATTATTAAACTTGTTATGCATTTTTTTTTCCTGCCAGCAACTGCTGGAATTGATAATAAGATTTGTCTGTGGAATCCATATGTCATCTCCAAACCCAATGGGATTCTACAAGGCAATATGGCCAGTGTGATGACCGTCAAATTCATCTCCAATCGTAAGCAGCTTCTCAGTTTCTCTAAAGATAAGGTATGTTTATCCTTAGACTAATAAGATTTGGGTGTTGTTTTTTTACTCCTTTAATTACTCTATAGACCGTTAAAGATAATGCCATTGGCATCAGTCCTGAAAGCTTCTTAAATGGGTTGTGTCAAGCTCAAAGCACATTTTTAAAATGTTTTATTGATAAAAGGTTATTTAGATAACCAGAAATTAGTGCAATATGTTATAAGGTGTTGTAGTGTTTCAGCTGGCGACCCCCTTGTAATGTGATTACGCTTATTTTTAATTATTTTTTTGATATATTGGGGTTGATTTACTAAAGCTGGAGAGTGCAAAATGTGGTGCAGTTCTGCATAGAAACCAGTCAGCTTCTAGATTTTATTTGCCAAAGTTTAATTGAATAAAGCTGAAGTTAGAAGTTGATTGGCTACCATGCACAGCTGCACCAGAATTTGTACTCTCCAACTTTAGTAAATCATCCCCATTGTTTCTTGACATTTTGATTTTTGTGTTGTTTCATATTCATACACACTATTAATTTTTGGTGACTGCGCTGATTGATTTTTTTTACACTAGTTTCTTTAGATGCCTGAAGCTAATAAGGAGTATATGGGATCTCTGTGTAGCGCCCTGCCCTAGGCTGTAAAAAAATAATTTTTGGCTCTTTTGTACCCAAGTGTGCAGGAATTTATCGTTCAGGTTTGCTCAGGTCTCCATAAACTAGGGGGTTGATTGCTCCTGCCTGCCTGGAAAAAGCTTCCAGAAATAGAGTAGGAGGATCAATCTGTGAGCTAGGAATACTTATCTGATCTCAGCCAATCCCTGGGAGGGAGTGGCCCAGAAGGTGTGACTGGATAGGAGATAAAGGTTTGGGAGGATCTGTTCAGATCTGTCTTCTCTTGGTTCTTCTGCCACTGGGAGGCAGCCTGTATTATTGAAGATCTGTTGCTGTTAGGCCTCAGCATTTGCTTGACTGAGGGCGGGAAGAAGCCTGGATTAAAGAGAATTTGCTGGAGAACACTACTTTAGGAACCTGGACTGAAGAAGGACCCCTTTCACTGAAAAGTGCCAAAGGAAAGGTTGTTGGGGATTTGTCTCTGGACATTGTGAGTAGGGTCTATTGCCTAGAGCTTCCATTGTGCTTTGGCTCTGAAGGTTAGATGCCAAAAGTTGTTACTAGGACTGTGACTGCTTTACAGAGTCACAGTCTGGCTGGCTGTCCCCTCCACCTTCAGTAACACTTAGGGCTGCTACTGAAGGACTATATACTGATGAATCTGTCCTCTATGCCCATGTGTGTTTTGGAGTATCCTGCACCCTCAACGCTCTACCTGTGTTCAAATATTGCAATTAATCTTCAAAAAGACACCTCTATACTGAGCTTGAGATTTGTTGGTGTGCTTGGCCTGGCAACCTGAAGATCTACGTTATTTTCCAGCAGCCCCTTCAGGGGTAAGCACTACATCTGGATAAACAGAAACTATAGGCAGCCTTTTTCCTTAGAATATCATGCAGATTGCTGAAATACTGAGACTGAGATCTAAACACAGAATGAACAGCATACATGTAGTCTGACCTAAAAGTAGCTCATTTATGTTCTCCGTGCGACTTCCATCCACAGACAGCAAAGCCATCTGCAGCTTTTCCCTCCTCTCTTAGTCGTTTTGTAATGGGGTTTTTTTTCCTGCTAGCACAACATGCAGGATGTCAAACCAATCACTGTCACATAAGTCTAGAGAGATACATTAATGGAATAAAATCAGTCACTAATGACTGATATACAAATCTTTTCTGATAATGGTAGCAGTCTCCTTAGAGTGTTTTTATAATTTGCTAGCACAGACATTTTAAGGAGGAAGAGCTTTTCTTGTTGTCTTTGACCATTAATCATAATTCTTCTTTCATTTTCCCATATTACACTAGATGCATGAAAAAGGATCTTATTTTTCCTTTGGTCAGCAAGAAAAGCTTTTTTTAATATATATATATATATATATATATATATATATATATATATATATATATATATATATATATATATATATATATATATTAAATGGTCATGTGTGTGGACAGGCTGTGAGACAATTGTGTAGAGTAAACATACAATCGTTCACTCATCATTCCCTGTGTATGAGGAGAGGGGGGACTCTGCAGAGAAGTGAAGAATTCATACAAGAGGTCCTTAGGCCACACAGAGAGAGTGCCGGCCTGTGCTGCGCTCAGGTGCCCCTAGGTGGCCGTATGCCTTAGGCGACTGCCTAGTTTGCCTAGTGGAAGTGACGGCCCTGCCTCAAGCCCCTTCTTCATATATAGAAGTGTACAGCACAGAAGAACAGTGGTTCACAAAATTAGGGCTCACATGTAAGTAATATTTGCATGCCATGGTCACCTTAAGCTAAATTCTTTTAATATATTACTATCATATCTAAACATGTGTTAGACAAAGGTGGTAAACGTATGTTAATCCTCTTTCTACAAACTAAATACAGTATGTTATCCCATAATCACATTACACCTGCTATGCTTAATTAAAGATTCACCCACAAAAAATTGTTACTCTGAACTTTTCAATAAAACTTAACTGAACTTTTTCATGATTCCTTAGCCCTAAGCAAATTGTTGGTGTGAGGTCATCCTGTATATGACTCATATTACTGCAGAATGCCAAAGCCAACCTTGACAATTTTTCAGATACTGTCAAAACTTTGTACTAATTCAACACAACATAATTTACAAAATGTAAACATTTATGCTTCCTGTCAGTGAAAAAATGTATTCTCAGAAACTGGTTATAGCCCCTCAGGTTTACTATTAGTGATTATAAAATAGAAACAGCTGCACCTAATTAAAGTGGTAAGTATATTCAAAAAAGCTGCCAGCAGCTACCAAAAAAAGTGTACACCTACAAAACACCCCAAGATCAGATTAAAAGTGTAAATGGTAGATGGCCAAAAAAACTGACAAGGGTTATAACCCCGTTAACTCTATCCAAAATGAAAAACAAGCTCTGCTTTTAGTCCTACTTTAAAAGAGAAAAAGGGCCAAAACTCTTTTGATCACAGGAGTGCACTTCTTTCTACACTCCTGTGACCTATTTTCAGCTGGCAGCCGGCTAAAGCCTGCTGTTGGCTGAAGTCACTGAGCCAGCCCACGCTCTGGAAAGATCCCAACTTTAAATTCGGGATCCACTTTGATTCCCGACTGGCAGCCGGCTCAGTCTCTCAGCAAGTCACCAAGAGCCTGAGCCAGCTCCTCCAGCACCCTTCACAGTCCAGTGAACGGTGGAGGTGCAGAGCAGAAAGCTGGTGACAGACAGTCATTGGCTTTCACTCAGTGATCAGTGGTCTTTGAAGGCTCAATTCTCAGTCTTAGACGTGGCAGGGGATAGATGCAACATCCACTTAGGTGACTATAAATACTTTTTTTTTTATTCCTAAACTTCTCTTTTAACATTTCAAATCCACCAAAACTGAGAATCTTTAACACTTGACCCCCATTCCTTCAGAAACCCATGCCAGGTTCTCAGTTTTATTCTTCACTTATAGTCTTCCAAAACACAACATGGTACAACACAAGTTAAAAGTACCAGTACCCAACCCATGCCCCCAATGATTTTCCACTAATTCTATAATGCTCCCACTGTATCCTGTTTTCAGAAATCTACTGCATACCTCTACACTATTGCCAACATGACCCATTTCCCAAATGTTTCATATATAAAGCACAGGTAGTTGCCAATGTTTTGTTTTATTTAGTTTATATACTGTATATAAAAATATAATTTTTATTATCCCTTTCTTTTTCTTTCTTTCTTTCTCTATTGCTTAGATGTTTATTTCCATCATTTGTAAATTGGTAATTCCTTTCTCTTTTTTAATTTAGCCTGTCAAAAAAACAATGCAAAAACTACAGACACATCAATGTCGTACTGTCATTTCTTTTACTATTCTTCAGTATGATAACTGTTTCAATAAACATAGATTTAAAAAAACTTTCATGTCACAATTTGATTCTTGTTTTATTGCTCTAGATTGTCATTGGGTATAAATGAATACTGTTATTTCTGCAACACATTTACTGTAGGGGATACATAGATACTGTAATAGCCTTAAAAATACAATATTACAAGCTGTATTGTGAATCCTTTTGCAGGTGTTGAGGGTATGGGATGTTCATCATCAAGTGTGCATACAACGTTTAGCTGGGATCTTCCCAAAAACTCTGGAATTTCAATTAACCTTCTATTTCTACGAGCTCCACGGACGCCTCTTTCTGTCATTCAACAATCAGTTGGCAGTTCTAGAAATGAAGAGTGAGGCTAGCAAAAGCGTGGCGAGCCACGAGAAACCAGTAACGTGTGTGCTGTACAACTCGACTTTTAAACAGGTAAATTTTAAATGCAAGTCACAGATCTGTGTGTAGTCAGGTGTGTGTGTCATGGAAGAGGAATGTAATGAGCGCAGATGCTGAATAATACAGACAGAATCAGTTATAGAAATCGCTTAGATCAATAGCATATCACTGGTTTAGTTGGTGGAACCTGACTCTATGGCACAGTCATCATTATTACCCACTGTGCTACTGATTGGTATCATCAAGCTCATTATATCCACAAATCTTAGTGTGCTATTGCTTCAGACAGTTAAATGCTAGTACATTCTTGCACAGAGAAGGCTGCAAAAAATTGTACCTCTGTGAAGCTGAATTTTACAGTAACAATAAATTATTAAAATGATTATAGATGCAATGAACACCTGCATTTGGCCCTTATATCACCTTCTTCTAATCCCATGCACAGCGAGGGAGAGGGACTGCCAATACCAAACAAGACTGTGCCGTGATGCACAATGCTGTCAAACACTGCGAGCATCAGGGCCGGATCTAGCCAGTATGATATGGAGGTGCAGTAAAAAATGTCAGGGGGGCAAAGGATATGAGGTCAGCCGGGCAGTGTATGAAAAACAGGAATCAATAGCGGAGTGTACTGAGGATCAGCAGGGCAGAGGACAGGGGTTAGTAGAGCAAAGGGCAGGAATCAGCAGTTTGCAGGGCAGTGTACCGATCGACTTCTGTACAACCAGCCTCTAGGAAAATTTCCACACGATTAGCACCGCCAGTTATAGCTGGCAGCACTTATCAGAGCTAAGTGATAAGTCTCTCTGCTGTCAGAACACAATACCTCAGCTGGATTTCTGCATCCACGTCAAATGTGTAGATGTGGGAATCTAGTTTTTGTTTTGTTTTTTGTTTTTATGGACAAGAGAAGAGTGCCTGTTTAATACAAACTGTCTATAAATTTATGGATGGTTGGCAACACAGGTCTGGGGGTGTACACATGCTGCCACTATGATGTTTTACTTTTTTGTGGCTGCGGCAGGAATTATATACTCTGTTGCATTTTGTGGGCGCAGTGCCTGCTGAACATGACCCACCTCTGCAAGCACCCCACAACGGTGTGTAATGTATGCGGTTCCAGTGCATTAGTGTGGGGTTCTAGGGGTTAAAGCAGGTGGTGAGGAGGTGAAACAACACCTCCTCACTGCCTGCCAAATGCTCTCTAAAGAGTGATCTGAATGCAGAATGCTCTTCAGAGACCAATGCTCATGTAAACAGGCCCCTAAAGCCATGCTGTGGATGGGCAGAAAGGTGATAAAACAGAAGCATCACAAACGTGTGAGTGAAAACCCCAGCAGTTTAGCCAACTAGCAGATTGCCAGCTATACCCAACAGTACTAAAGTTGTCCCTGATTGCTAACTGGACATGAGGGGGGAGGGGGAGAAAGGGAAGGAGTTGGGGAGAGTTCAGCATTGGGCAGAGTTCAGCTCACTCACCCCACACTGGTCTGGTGGCTCAGGCAGTCTTCAATATTGCAGCCACCACATAATTGCCGGCTGTAGTGCTTCAAGTTTCCCACCCACACATCTTCTCAAGTACAGCCCTGGTTGGGAATTGCAGTGTGGGAGGGGCAGACATGAGGAGAGGGTGGGGCAGACATGAGGAGAGGGCAGGGCAGACATGAGGAGAGGGGCGGGGCAGACACGAGGAGAGGGGTGGGAGGAGGAGGAGGAGGTGCACATTGATCTCTCCTCTCCTGTCCATGCAGGGAAGGGGAGGTTGAGTGTGCTGGCTGAGGTCTGTCACAGACACTAGACTTGATAGATGCAGCCAGCCACTGCACACAGCTTCAACTGATGAACATCATCCACAGGTTGCCTGGGTGGGCACAACTGATATCGGCGGGGTCATAGGCCACCCCAGCACCTCACTAGATCCGGCCATGGTGAGCATGCCTACAAGAGGAGAAAGCTGAGTTATGACTCATAGGAGCACTGCTGTTCCTTCAATGTCAAATCAGCAGCCTGGGGATGCCCTCTAGACCAAGTGACAGTCTAGGACTGCCACAGAGGTCCACCATTTGGCTGTGCCATCTGGTAAGGATGCCTGGATTACAAGAACAGCTGAACTAAACTGGAATTCTTTTGACACATGTAACAGTTCACATACTGTTTGAGTATTTGGATTGTATTTGTTTCATGCATGCCTTAGAGAAGAATTAAACCATGCAAAAATGTATTATGTTGCGCATTTTCAATCCTAAACCACTTGCCTACCAAAGCAATTTTTTATTTCTTTGCGCACATGTTAAAGAAGCTTTCAGGTTGCTTCAGGGGTGCCTTGGCAAAATGCCTAAAAATTGCCTAAAAACGATATACAAGCCAACAGGTGGATCAAGCCTGCCTTTTAGTTACACAAAGCCAGAGGTATTCATTGTGCACCATTACAACTTTCTAGCCACTGATGACGTAAAAAAACAATGTCTGCAGTTGATAAGAAGGACATAGGGCACCTGCACAGCATCCTTACTTGCCCCTCCCCTGCGCCTCTCTGTCAGGGCTGAGATCACATTAGCTGAATGATAGAGAGAGAAACTGAGGGAGAAGAGAAACAATGGAATACTGGTCAGTACCAGTGTGCAAAGGTGTATTTGCTTTAGAAGAACAAATCACCTCTAACATTTGGTGTCTACATGTACATCTGTTTCTACGTTCTGTAAAACTATTAATTTAGTTTTTTTACATTTTGTAATGGGTGCCTTGAGATTGTGCAGAATTTTAAAGGGTGCATTGACTGAAAATAGTTTGAGAAACACTTTGTTAAAGTAATATTAAAGGTTAAATAACAAAATAAATAAGCATGTCATACTTACATGCTCTGTGCAATGGTTTTGCACAGCACAGCTCTGAACCGCTTCTTCTAGAGTCCCCCGCTGGAGCTCCTGGCTCCTTCCCCTTGATCAGTGCCCCCAAAAGCAAGCCAATTGCTATGGAGGCACTGGTGCATGCTCCTCCCAAGCCCTGCTCTATGAATCTGTAAGACACATAGAGGCACAGTTCAGCCCTGCCCATTGCTCTCTCCTCATTGGCACACTGGCTGTGATTGACAGCAATTGGAGTCAATGGCTCACGCTGCTGTGTCTCAGCCAATGAGGAGAGAGAGACCTAGGACAGCCAAGGCTCCTGTGCACATCGCACAAGAGGTGGCTAAGGTGAGTATTAGGAGGGGCTGTGGGGGAGGCAGCACACATAAGGTTTTTTTAACTTCATGTATAGAATGTATGAAGGTAAAAACCTTCAGGATTTACAACTACTTTGAAATCTGCATTTCTTTCTAGAAATTATTGTACCCTCCCCCAAAAGTATAGAGACCCTGGAAAATAAAATGGTGGTAGGTGCAATTTTTTTATGTTGCACAATATCTGTGCAGTTATTTATTAAACACAGATTTTTAGGGAAAAAATTCACTAGGAAAAAAATTCAGTAAAATGGATTTTAGGAAAAAATACACTAAAATGAACACAATAGCATACATACAGTGGGGATCGAAAGTTTGGGCACCCCAGCTAAAAAATTTGTATTAATGTGCATAAAGAAGCCAAGGGAAGATGGAAAAATCTCCAAAAGGCATCAAATTACAGATTAGACATTCTTATAATATGTCAACAAAAGTTAGATTTTATTTCCATCATTTACACTTTCAAAATAACAGAAAACAAAAAAATGGCGTCTGCAAAAGTTTGGGCACCCTGCAGAATTTATAGCATGCACTGCCCCCTTTGCAAAGCTGAGACCTGCCAGTGTCATGGATTGTTCTCAATCATCGTCTGGGAAGACCAGGTGATGTCAATCTCAAAGGTTTTAAATGCCCAGACTCATCTGACCTTGCCCCAACAATCAGCACCATGGGTTCTTCTAAGCAGTTGTCTAGAAAACTGAAACTGAAAATAGTTGACGCTCACAAAACTGGAGAAGGCTATAAGAAGATAGCAAAGCGTTTTCAGATGTCAATATCCTCTGTTGGGAATGTAATTAAGAAATGGCAGTCATCAGGAACAGTGGAAGTTAGAGCAAGATCTGGAAGACCAAGAAAAATATCAGACAGAACAGCTCGCAGGATTGTGAGAAAAACAATTCAAAACCCACGTTTGACTGCAAGATCCCTCCAGAAAGATCTGGCAGACACTGGAGTTGTGGTACACTATTCCACTATAAAGAGATACTTGTACAAATATGGTCTTCATGGAAGAGTCATCAGAAGAAAACCTCTTCTACGTCCTCACCACAAAAATCATCATTTGAACTTTGCAAATGAACATATAGACAAGCCTGATGCATTTTGGAAACAGGTTCTGTGGACCGATGAGGTTAAAATTGAACTTTTTGGCCGGAATGAGCAAAGGTACGTTTGGAGAAGAAGGGGCACAGAATTTAATGAAAAGAACCTCTGTCCAACTGTTAAGCATGGGGTTGGATCAATCATGCTTTGGGGTTGTGTTGCAGCCAGTGGCACAGGGAACATCTCACGAGTAGAAGGAAAAATGGATTCAATAAAATTTCAGCAAATTTTGGATGGTAACTTGATGCCATCTGTGAAAAAGCTGAAGTTAAAGAGAGGATGGTTTCTACAAATGGATAATGATCCTAAACACACCTCAAAATCCATGGGGGATTACATCAAGAGGTGTAAACTGAAGGTTTTGCCATGGCCTTCACAATCTCCTGACCTCAACATAATTGAAAATCTATGGATAGACCTTAAAAGAGCAGTGCGTGACAGACAGCCCAGAAATCTCAAAGAACTGGAAGACTTTTGTAAGGAAGAATGGGCAAAGATACCTCAAACAAGAATTGAAAGACTCTTGGCTGGCTACAAAAAGCATTTACAAGCTGTGATACTTCCCAAAAGGGGGCAGTACAAGATATTAACTCTGCAGGGTGCCCAAACTTTTGCAGACGCCATTTTTTTGTTTTCTGTTATTTTGAAAGTGTAAATGATGGAAATAAAATCTAACTTTTGTTGACATATTATAAGAATGTCTAATCTGTAA